TGGGCACTCATCTGGCGTCTGACCAGGGCTACCAGACATAGGTGTCTAGCGTGTGTTCTAGGATGCAGGGAAGCACAGTGTTGTCCACATGCAGCCATCTGTGGCTATGAGTGCCCTATTGCTTCTACTACTACTTGGCATCATTGTGGAGAATGGGCTGCATTGGTATATTGAGGAGGCTTCTTAAAGTACCACTGCTCCAGTGGGGCATGCTGTTTTCATGGCAACAGTTCCCTGTGGTACTGGAATGGCCTGTAGTGTCAAGAAGGGACTTTCCATAAATAGAGACTACTTAACCCTAGGTGTCCACCTTCAGTGGATTCTCACCTGGGCTCCTGTTTAGGGCTCATCAGATGGGGTAGCCATCATCAATATTTCTGCTCTCTTGAGAATTCTCTGGCTTATCAAATGATGCTAAATGATTCTTTATTTGGACCTCTTTGTATCATTCTTATCTAACAGTTACTTGTATTTCTTACACTATTCTTTTCAAGCTCTTTAAAGACATGTCCTCTATCTTGTGCTCTTTTTCTCTCACTGTATAGCACAGTGCATTTAGTGGATATTCTTTATTGAAGGAATGAACAAAAAGATTTAAACTTTCTGGAGCATCTTTGATTTTAACACGGTTTGAAGAAGTGTTATTACCCCCCCTCCCCCGTTCATGAGCCACTCTTCTGAATGTGCCTGCAGCTACTGAGCTTTACTGGTTTGGTTTGGGGCTCTTTTTTTGTTGTTTTATTTTTGTTTTTGTTTTTAGTTTTGAGGATTGAACCCAAGGTCTTTCACTGGGGTTATCGTGACCTCTTTTTATTTTTTATTTTGAGACAGAGTCTTGCTGAGTTGCTCAAGCTGTTCTCAAACTCCTGCCTCCACCTTCTAAGTAGCTGGGATTATAGGTGTACACCAACATTCCCAGCTTTAATGAGCTTGTTGACAAGGCTCCTACAAAAAGATGGGTCACAGCCTTTGACTGTTAAGAGGAATAGTCTCATGTGAAATACTCCATTCCATCTGATTGATCTGAGAATATTTAATAGTTGCCATTTAGCAAGCCCCTTGCATAAGCATGGCACTTTATATACTCAGAACTCTCTTGTTTATAAGATAAAATCCCAATTTAAACTTCCCTAAGCAAAAAGGAGAATTATTTGGAAGGATCCTGTTGTGTCTTGTTTTGAAGGAAATTGAAGAGTCTAATGGTGGGAAGAGTAGTATCTTAGCCAGGCTTGTCAAACAGCTAAAGCCTAGGACTGCAATAGTGCTCTATGGGGCTCTGTATCTCTCTTTCTGTTGGCATCATCTCTCTCTCTCTGGAGATCAGCTCCTTCCCTTTACTGGGGAACTTTGTTGCTCTTTACTCAGTCTTATATCTTGGGGCTTCCACCACCAAAGAATTTTAACTCTTTTTCCCAATTCTAGTTCGGAAAAAAAAAAAAGGGAAAATTCCCATTGGCCCAGCTTGGGTCTAGTGTTCCCCTTGGCTAGTGGACTCTGTAAGAACGTGATAAGAGAAGACTTGAAGGAAGAGAAAAGAATACTGGGTCAGTAATTGCAAAGATGGTCACTACCTGACTCTGATCCTTTCTAACAAAAAGTCTTTGAGGCAATGATGTTATTTCTGTTTCAGAATTGTAACTACCCTCCTAAAGATGAAATGGCTTGCCAGAAATCACAGAGTTAAGTGGCAGGACTAAGCCATCCTGGGCTGCTGGCTCAAAAACTCTTGGTTTTAACCAGTATAATATTAGAGAAAATCAACAAATAGATGCAGAAGTGGAAAATAGAAACGATAGCAGAGAGGTGGAAAGAATCTAATTTTTCCTAGTAACTTTGAATACTAGCACATTATTTTTTCCAAGACCAATCTAAAGTCATACCAGTTCTGAAAATGATCAATCTCCTCCTTCCTGTGGTGGCAGCAAATGAGATCTCTGTTTAAAATCTGAAAGACTGTGGGTATACAGGATAAAGGCAGTATAATTCTCTGACAGACCACATTGCAAAATAGATGTATCTTAGGGCCAGAGGGATGTTTATTTCTCAAAGCATTTTCATTGGATCAGAGCCCCTGTGTCTACACAGGTGGCAGACAACAGATCTGGTTGGGGGAGCAGGGAACCAAAGGAAAGAAGAAAGCAACAGAGTCTGTGCCAGATCCTGTATTGCTCATCATCTATGGATATGACGTAGTGTGGCTCTGAGAGCTTGTTCAGAGTCTTCTTCAGAAGGCAAGGAAAGTTAAGAGTCACAGTTACAGTTAATGATGAACAGAAAAACATGGATGCTGTAATTGGTTTTGCTTAGTCTTGGAGGCTAACTTCGTGGGTTGCTTTGCATCTCCTGATTACAGACTTTGAGTTACTAAAGAGGATGACTACAGTTAACTGCTGCCTAATAAAACCCTTGGAGGCAGGCTACAGCCATGCTCCAGTGTTCAATTCAGAGACTCCAGGGACAGGAGAAACTTGGGATGGATTGAAAGCAGACATTTTGGGGCGATTAGTTCTGTTTTTAATCCACATCTAGCTTGGAATGGAAAAATAGCCACATTTTATTTTAAAGAGTGTCTAGGGACTGTGCCAGAATCTTTCAGCACATTTTCTGATTAACCAGGTAGTATTCTAGTAACTTTTAAAAATAGAATCTTATTTTTTGTAGGTCTTGTGATTCTTCCAATTACAAAATGCTCTTCTATCTATGTTACTGATTATTAGAGGTTAGATATCAAATATTAGGGTGTGTTTTGAGTATGGACTTGCTTGATAGAGTGAATATTTCACAGGAACGTTTTTGACTCTGGAAAATGAATTATATTAAATTTCACCAACTTTAAAACATTGTTATAACAAGCAAAAATATTCCAGCCTGAAAAAAAAAATCTGGCAGATCGTTTATCTTTCTTAAAGTCTATGAAATGCAAGATTGTGTGAGTCTTATTTGTTTGTTGGAAGAAAAAAGTGGTACCTTTAGTGGAGACAGTTCTGGTGGGAGGCCAGACTGAGAATAAGAAAGTAGGGATAGGAATCCTTTCTCTGAGAAAGGATCACACACACTTTTTCAGACTTGGATCTAAGTACAGAACTTGGCCCTTTCTGCTTCCTCTCTCAGAGTCATGTGTTTAGAGTATTGATTACAATCCCATCACATCATAACATGACATGACCTACAACATCACAGAATCCCATGAAGGTCATGCCCAAGAAAGTGGGTACTTTCTAGTGGTCAGTTGCTTGCAAGGTCTCTGTGGTACTTTTTCACACCATGACCCAGCAGTTTTCAGAACCCTCTGTGGGTTTAGAATTGCAGCACCTTGGTCATTAGACTCCATATTAGCCAAGCAGATAACGATGGGAAGGGTGGTGTGGTGGTTGTGGTGATGCATGCTTGTAATCCCAGCACTGATGTCCCAGGCTGAGGCGGGACAATCATGAGTTTGAGGCTGGGGGAGTGGTGGGTGTCAGCATGCCTCATTTAGAGCAGTAGTCTTAGCACTGCCACTCATATATGTGCCCTGAGGTATTGCTAACCATTCAGTAAAAATTTATATTCTAAGTGTGCTCTAGCTTTGTATATATGCTGCAGGTAAGCTGATCATATAACTTATCGCCTGAGTAATTTTCTGAGAGGGAGCCCTTAATAATTATACTGAGACAATAGCCATACACTAGGATTGTCCAGGCTAAACCAGAGTGGATGGTGAGGCACATGAGAAAACCATTTATGTCCTTGGTCCACACTCTAAAGGATACATATGACCATATTCTTTTTTTTTTTGTACCGTGGATCAAACCTGGGACCTTGCGCTTGCAAGGCAGGTGGCGGAACCACTGAGCTAAATCCCTGGCCTCTCTGTCTTAATCTTATATGAATTTTTCACAGTGAGACATGGTCACTCTTGCCCTCATTCAAACACTTTTGTTTGGCTTCTGTAACATTATAGTCCTTGGAGTCCTTGGTTTTGTCTCATATGGCTAGTGGTTTTATCTCTTGCATTTTTGCTTTCTCCTTTTCTTTTAGACTTCTGAATGTTGAACCCCCAAGAGCTCATCCCTGGCCCTCTTCTCTTTCCTGGAATATGGGATGTATTTAGTACATGCTTGTTGGATGAGTGAATGAGTGAAGGAGTGAATGAAATGCTATCTGATGTGACTGGCACTCTAACTGCCAAAGAATTCAGAGCACTGGTTCAGCTGTAGGTCTTTTTCAGTCATAGGACCATGGAGTACATGTGTTTTGCACATGTGTAGCTTTAGCACCCTCCAGGCTCCCCTCCTATGGTTGCATCTCCTCACAGAAGATACTGTAGGTTGTAATACTTTTAATGTGTAATGTCCATCTCGGTAGGTTTTTATTTCCATAGAAACATTTAACTCACTGTTAGCTTCAAGTGTAACTTTCTGATTTCATATCCTTAGTTTTCAAGTAACACACTATAAGTGTCATTAAGAATTGCCACAGTTCTGGAGTCCTTATACACAAGTCCTGGTTTTCTTTTCTTTTCTTTTTTTGAGGGGGGTTGTTTTTGGGTTTTTTTGACACAGCCTTTCAGAATTTCCAATTCAGAGCTCCCCTACAGCTGACTTAGAGCACCTCTGTCTCTTTACAGACTTTGAAGGTTACTGTGCACTTGCACAGTCCACACACGTATACACACGGGTGTGCATGTTCTGTTTATTGTCAACAATAACATGTATAGTGATCACCAAGACAGAGAGAAACAGTTGTTTTTAAATTAAAACTTTATGGTAACAAAAAAACCACAAAAAACAAAAAAAACCCAACTTTACGATATAGATTGGTAAGCATCCTATTTGCCTATATCTGAATGCTGGATTCTATTTCTCTACTAGTTTGGTACAATAAAATTGTCAATTTAAGTACAGTGAATCAAAAGAGCTTTATGATAATTATCTTCTGAAGCTGGAATTGATTTTAGTGTAATGACTGGTGTTGTCTTGTATGACTTCTTGTTTTTCATTTATTTCTCTTAACTCTAGGCACTTGAAGAGGCCCAGAAAGCTATTCAGCAACTCTTTGGCAAAATCAAAGATATCAAAGACAAAGCAGACAAATCAGAGCAAATGGTGAGTTTAGGTTTCTTCCTTACTTTTTGAACCAAAAAAGGAAGTCACCTTCTCACTCAGTCATAGTAATTAATGGACTTTTTCCTCCCACTTCCTGCCAACCACAATCATCCACGTCTCTCAGGCAAGCCTCTGTGGGTATGTTCCAGATTGATTCAAGGGGAGCTGCTAGACAAGGGTGACTCATAATCCCTGCTGCCCTACATTTGTAGTCCTTTTTTTTTAAATAGGAAAAGTTTGCTTTTTTTCCCAAAAAGACTTTCCTAGTCATTTTGGATGCCTTCCTCTAGCATTTGTTTATATCATGTATTTCTCAATTAAGATAACATGACATGTAATTTGGTAGCACACACAGGCCCTGGGTCTGGGTGGTAGGATCTACCCTGACTATGTTACATGCATATATATATATATATTTTTTTACTACATGCGTATGGTTTTGATTAAGTTTTCACTTTACAAATTTGTGGCCCCTGGGGATATTTTCAGTAGGCCACCCTGCTGACCAGGAATCCAGCATTCACCACTGTTACTCCATGGGAGGCCCTGGGATGTGCTAGCTCCTAAGCTGAAATTCTAGGTAATGTAATGCTTCCAGTTTCTTCAACTATAAAATAAGAATGTTGGGCTGGGGATTTAGCTCAGTGGTTCTGCCACCTGCCTCGCAAGCGCAAGGACCCGAGTTCGATTCCCAGTACCAAAAAAATATATAAATAAATAAATAAATAAATAAATGAAATAAGAATGTTAGCATCTACCTCATGGGTTCTTGTGGGAACTGAATGTATACGGAGTACTGAGCAAAGTACTAGGGATTTAGATTTGTAGTCATTCCCCAAGGATGCCCAGCATTCAGCACCAGCCAAGCAGATGGTGGGTGATTATCAAGTGATGCTGTCAGATGTGACTTTTGCTGGAGTTTTATTATACTCAGGTTTTTTACTCATGGTTAACTTTATTTGTTTTTTTTGTTTTGTTTTTGGTTTTTGTTTTTTTTGGTACCAGGGATCAAACTCGGGTCCTTGCGCTTACGCAGCAGGTGGTGAAACCACTGAGCTAAATCCCCAGCCCACTCATGGTTAACTTTACAGTTCTAAACTGCTATTCTGGACTACCTTTTCTCTTCCACCCTGGTGGTGGGAGTGTGCAATGACAGTTCCAAGAAGTTGCTTCTAAAGTTATTAGTTGACTTATATAAAAAAAAATTTCTTTCCAGAACAGTGTTTGTTTAAGGGGAGAGGAAGCAGTGAGTTGAGATCTGGTGTTTGTTGAGCTCTTTCAATGGACCAAGCGGGGTGCCAGATCCTTCGCCCTCCTGATGACCCTATGGACTAAGTTTTAGTATCATTATTTTTATGATTATCTATTATCTATTTTTATAGATGAGGAAACTGAGAGTTGGTGAGACTGAGAAACTTAGTCTATGACACAGAGTTGGTAATTGGTGGAGCTGGGATTCAGCCTGAGATCTGTCTGAATCCAAATCCACAATATCATCTTCAATTATTTGTTATTGGTTTGGTTGGTTGGTTAGTTTTTTTGTTTTTTGGTACTGGGGATCACAACCTTGCGCTTGAGAGGCAGACACGATGCCACTGAGCTAAATCCCTGGCCCTGGTTGGTTGGTTTTTGATGCCCATGTATAACAGTTAAAGTAAATTAACTATGGGTAATCTGTTTTGTAGAATAGTCTGCTCTTGTAGAACATAGTACCTCTTCCACACTCTACCATTAAAGGTTTTGTTTTGGGAATAGCTAGTAGTTCAGTTTGTCTAGTGCAGCACAGGATATGAGATGAGAATGATGGGAGAGCTGGGAAATGAAAATATCAGTGAACTGGTGCAGAGCAGTGAGGGACTGTGTGAGGGATAGAGTAGAGGGGCAAGATCTTGAGATACAGCAGAGGAAAAGTATTCAAGATTTGGCTGATGAATGAGAAGAAGCGTAGATGACTGTGACTTTAAACATAATGGCAAAAGCTCTAATGTTGGGACTGAAGGTATTGAATCAGAAAGAGGCACAGGGATTTTTCCGTAGGAAATAGGATGATGATTTAATTGTTGGAAATGGATGACCAGATTATGGAGCCAAACTTCTGTTTCTAGTCTCTTATGTCACTTCTGATCTTTTTTTAAACTCTAACCTCAATTATTCAACAAAGTAGTGGTGGATTCTTAACTTTTTTTTTTTTTAATGAAAATAGAAGTAGTTAGATGGCCTGAGGGTTATGACTGAAGGTAGGCTTGATAGGGCATTCTGAGAAAGAGAATTTTCACTGCTAAGATCCAAGACAAGCTTGCAGGTTTGTGGGCATAGAATGGAGCTGTGCCAGTCATAGTCTTTATTTAACCCAATGTCATCAGACTCTGAAAAATCAGGTCATGTCAGCTAACTCCCTATTGGATTTTGCACTTTAATGGTAGATGCATGTATAGTGTCTAGAATATTTGGGCCTAGTGTCCAGGGTACTTTCTTCTAGTTGTTACAGAACCTGGAAAACCAAACTATTAGTTTCTTGATCATTATAGACTCAGGATAGTGGAAGAGTTCACCTAAAGAATATCACTAACGGGCCAGGGATTTAGCTCAGTGGCGCTGTGCCTGCTTCACAAGCGCAAGGTCCTGAGTTTGATCCCTGGTACCAGAAAAAAAAAAATATCAGTAAAGTTGCAGGGATTTTCCAACTTCTCTATTGAATCCATTTTTCCAGTGATTGAAATATAGCTGCATTCCTAGATGGACTTTTGTTCTCTTGGGCCTACTGGCGCAGTACTGGCAAAATTTTACTCCTCACATTACCTTCTCACTCCAAGAAGACTGTGGCTGTCCTCTTATGATATTTTATGTTAAATTTATATTACAGGGGTTACATTTTTATCTTCTTGAGATTTGAGAGAACGTTTTTTGTTTGCTAGAGGCTCAATACAATTAGCTGATTAATACTATCCATTTTGTGCTGAATCTCGTAGCATAAGTGGCAGAAGGCACACTTTTTGGACCTTATTCGAGAGGAGAGGTTCTCACCTTGACTCCTGTACCCTGTATGCTCACTACTACATTGCTATTTGGATCATTCCATTGAGAGTGGGAAATAAAAGTTCATTTATTTCTCACAACCAAGGATTTTGTAACCTTGGATAAAGTTTGAAGAAATGTGAAATTAAACATAAAGGGGCTGATTGAAAATTGTTGATTTTACATTGTGAGAATGTGTGTGTTTTCTCCAAGGGTTAATCTGAGGCTTTTTTCTTGCTTTATGTGCATTATTTTCTTGTGGAGTTACTTACAAGAAAGATATGTATCATTCTTATCCTTGCACCTTTCTCCCCTGTTATTTTTCAATATTTAGGTTAAGGAAATCACCCGTGACATTAAGCAGCTAGATCATGCCAAACGCCACCTGACCACCTCCATCACAACACTGAACCATCTGCACATGCTAGCAGGTGGCGTCGATTCCCTCGAGTAAGCAATGTAAATTTGGGGTTTGGGGCTCATAGGAAGAAAATCCATTGCATAAAGATAATAGCTCCATAACTATTTCTCAGCCAGCCTTACCATCCTGCCCCACTTTCAGTAGATTGGCTGTTAAGTATGTAGTTACCATCTCTGTATTGTCCTCTCTGTTGTTCAAAACTTAAAAATGTGAGGTGCAGGTGATCCAAGGAGGACCCAGAAAACACATGAGAATGATTCCAAGAATATGGGTCATTTGTGGGTGGTAGACCTGGACCATTAAGGCAGACAAGGTGAGTCAGACCAAGGATTACTCCCTACAGCCTCAGCCTTGACAAGTTTTCTGCTTCTATTGGGCTGAGTTGCACTGTCACAGAACAGACCATTTAGAAACAGATCTTTGATACATCATTCAACCCAACTTTTTAAAAAACCTATTTTTTCAAAGATAGTTGCTTCTTGTTGGCTGTTAAAGAGAATGATACCTGAGCACATCAGAAGAGGCATTAAAAGAAGGAGCTGGTTATTTACTACAAAGAAGCAAATCACTAACATTTCCAGTTCACCTCTGTGTTCTGTTTTAGGCTAAAAATTCCCCTTGGCCCAGCCTCAGTGTAGTTTCAGATGTGGACAGAGAGAATCTTCACAGAAAAGTAAATTCAATAGCGAAAGTCTTGGGGTAGTGGGAGCAGGAGAATGTATCGAAGGAAAGAGGAGGAGGAGCAGACTCCTTCCTGAGCTCTCCTGGGTGTAGGCTGGGTGTCAGGGGATCCCTGGTCCATTCCTCTACAGGAAGTGATCAGGTGGGGCAGCAGGCCAGTGGAAGTGGAACTGCAGCCTCCTTATCCTTCCTCTAGGCGATCAGTGTTAGCAGGCCTGATTGCAATGTAACACCTTGGCTTGAACTTGATCTCGTCTTTTCAAATGCCTTTGAAGGGAAGTTATAAATTATACACTTACTGTAAAAGCTCAACCATAATAGTTTGTATTTCCTTGCTATGTGTAACTGTTGATTTTATCAGCATCTTTTGTTTAAGCTTCATTAACTGTAGCACCAGGGTAAGTAGACATCTCTGATGGAGTCATTTATCATAGGATTAAAACCTTCAGATTTGACTTAACATGTAAAAATGTATATAAATGACCCTTGTTATGTCCTAGAAAATAGTTTGGTTTCCCTACATGCTACAGTTCTCAGACAGTTACATCTCTACCCCTGTTCTCTGTTGGAAGCCTGCTAATACTATTGATAGAGTTCTCTGCTAGACGAAATGGCCCCAACAACCCTGCATCCTAAAATGGCCCCTGCCTACAGGAAACGAATCACTCCAGAGAGAACAAAGACCTGCTTTTTCCCACCTCGCCCCCAGTCGTAGCCAATCATCTGCCACCACCACACTGCCCCAGCCCTTATAAACGTCACCCAGCCAACCCCTGGTTGCTGCTGTCGCCATTATTTGAGACAGCCCAGCCGCTCTGTCCCTTAATAAAAGCTCTGCTTTGGGTTTTCATGTTTCAGCTCATTTTATTTCTCTCACCTGTAATGTCCAGCCTTTCCAGATTCCTCTTCCCCACCCAGTAAGAATTCATCATTCACACATTCTTTTGTATACCTCATGGCACATAACTTATACTATACTTCTATTTAGAACTTAATTCATTCTACTTGCTATTAGATAGATGTATACCTGACCTATCAAATGATGTTGTCTTGAAGATTTGAGTCAGGTCCCCCTGCCCAGTGCACAGCACCATTCATATTTAGTCCTTGCTAGGTGTTTATTAAAGCAAGTTCATGTCTGTTTCAGAGCCTGAGTAAGTTATTCCACATCTGCATCTTTTTTTTTTTTTTTTTTTTTTGGTACCGGGGATTGAACTCGGGTCCTTAGCTTGTGAGGCAGGTGGTGGAACAACTGAGCTAAATCCCCGGCCCAATGCCTCTTTTGTCCTTAGTATTTTACTAGTTTTCAACTTCTTGTTTCCTTACAGAGCCATGACCAGGCGCAGACAGTATGGAGAAGTTGCTAATCTCCTTCAGGGTGTAATGAATGTTCTGGAGCACTTCCACAAGTATATAGGAATTCCACAGATCCGGCAGCTTTCTGAAAGGTAAAATGTCATTGGAGAAGATGACCTTTCCCTAAGAAGAGGTGGTGCTAGGAAGGGCTTAAGCCCTGAGCTCAGTGTGTTCATCATAGAATCTTATTGTTGGAAGCAGCCCTTGATGTTATCTGTTCTAACTCTGTGTGATGCAGGCATCCCCCTATAGTATCTTGACCCTAGCTTCTGAAGATGCCCATGTCAGGTAGTTGCTTTTGTATGTATGCACAACTCTAAACTATCTGTTATTTTCATGTAACAAATCACCACAAAACTTGTTGGCTAAAAACAATTATTTTGCTCATGAAAATTGACTCAGCTCAGTAAAGCTGTGCCTTTCTGCTCTGTGCAGCATCAACTGAGGTAGCTGTAAGTGAGGCTAGAAGAGCCCTTGGCTCAATATCCTAGCTGACACTTTAGTGCTTGCAGTCAGCTGGGAGCTCAGCCAGCTGTGGACTGGGGTCTCTTATTGACCTCCATGGGTTACTTGGGCTTCCTCATGGTCAGGTACCTAGGTTCCAAAAGACTTGACATTGGAAGTCGCATAGCATAATTTCTGCTTTAGTCACAAAGCTGCCAAGATTCAAGAAGGAAGAGTATCAAAGTAACATTGGTAAAAACAAAGCATATGGGAAGGAATGTATTGCTATGGCAATCTTTAGAAAATACATTGTCCCACTAGAACTTCAGATATGGCAAAATGGTGACTTTCTCTCTAACCTTACTCTTTCCTTCTTACCATGGTTGAGTTTTTAATCTCAGATTCAGATCCAGTGGAAAGAAAGGCAGATGCTTAGAGATTAGGAAGATGATGATTCTAAACGAAGGTTGGATGTGGTGGATTCAGTGCCTTTTCTGTTAGAAACAGCAGCAGGGAGAACACTCTGAAGGCAGAGATGGCCACAATTGACAAATCCTAATCTTTCTTATAGTAAAGAAGTGCAGGGGTGGCCTTTAGCAGCAGTTGTTTTTAGTTCTGCCTTCTTAGCAAGGTCTAGCTGATATAAACTTTTTTTCCTGTTTCTTTATTTTTAATTATATAAGTAATAAATACATACACTTTCTTTTACTTAAAAAAGTAATGCACAGGTAATACTTTAGTTCCCTTCAGCTATACCTGAAATCCCACGGGTCTTCCTAGAGGTAGTGAAACTTACCAATGTAATGGGTGTCCCCCTAGATTTTATCTAGACATTTATATAAATCTGTAGTTCTATTGTGTAATTTTATTTTGCTTAGGGTTTTTGTTTGTTTGTTTTTTTGATATAGGGTCTCTCTGTGTAGTTCAGATTGGCCTTGAATTCACTATGTAGCCCAGGCTGGCTTCAAACTCACAGTGATGCTCCTGCCTCAGCCTCCCAAGTCTGGGATTATAGATGTGTGCCACCATGCCTGCCATTTGGTTTTATTTTTTGATTTTTTTTTTTTTTGGTACTGGGGATCGAACTTGGGTCCTTGCACTTGTGAAGCAGGCGGTGGAACCACTGAGCTAAATCCCCGGCCCTGGTTTTATTTTTAATACATGCTTTCACACCATATGCTTAATTTTGAAATCTGCTTTTTGTTTTCAACCTAGTGATAAATTTTAGAGATTTTTTTCCATATAAGTTTTTATAGACTTACCTCATCCTGTGCATAGAATTTCATAATAAAACACATCACAGATTATTTAACCATTTTCAAAGCATCGGATTGTTTGTTTTTCAAATACACTCCCTTTCACACATTTGCAGATATTTCTCTAGGGTAGATTCTGGATCATAGGGTTGTGTACATTTAAAATTTTAATGACTTCTGCTCCTTTGTCCTCCAGAAATTTTTGTATATTTATAGTACCATCTCTATAGTACGTGAGTACTCATTTCTCTCTACCCTCAACAACACTTGATACTGTTTTCATTTTTATCAATTTTTTTTTTTTTTTTTTTTGGTACTGGGGATTGAACTCGGGTCCTCGCGCTTGCACAGCAGGCAGTGAAACCACTGAGCTAAATCCCCGGCCCATCATTTTTATCAATTTGATGGAAGAAAAAAATAATATCTACTTCCTTTAATTTCCATTTCCTTGGTAAGTAGTGAGATTAGTATTTTCATTACTTGATGATTAGCTCTTTATATTTTTCTCTTTTAATACCTGCTTTTATCCTTGGCCTATTTGTGTATTGAGTTGTTCATCCCTTTTCTATCTATTGATGTGTAGGAATTCTCTCTATATTAGCTATTATGGGTAAATCTTGCCTATCAAACCATGCAGATCTTTGACTAACTTTTCAATTTCTCCTATGATAATTGGTCATATTTTTTACTTTTTTTTTTTAACTTTAAAGTTGTAACAAAATTTATTATTCTAGCCATTTTTATTTGTTTAGTACCTAGGATTGAACCCCTGGCTTTGTGAAGGCAAAGCGTGTGCTTTGCCACTCAACTACACCCCTAGTCCTGTTTTACATCTTTAAATATATAATTCGTTGGTATTAACTACATTCATGTTGTTCAAACATCACCATTATCTATTTTGAGATCTTTCTCGTCATCCCAAACAGTCTAGGTATACATTAATAAGTCACCGTATTTTCCTCTCCCTTTTCCCTGGTAACCTCTGTTCTACTTTCCATCTCTGAATTTTTCTATTCTTGCTAACTCACATAAGTAGAATCAAAGAGTATTTTTCCTTTTGTGTCTGGCTTATTTCACTTAACATAGTATTTTTGAGGCTTATCCATGTATCAGAACCTCATTTTTCTCTTTAGGGCTGAAAATTCCTTGTACCTGTATACCACATTTTGTTTGTCCATTCATCTGTTGATTGATATTTCACTGTTTTCACCTTTTAGCTATTATGTGACAGAATAGGCAGATCTGTTGTTTGGTATTCATTGTTGCTACTAAAAACCTGAAGCTAATCTGAATCTTGTTCTTTTATAAGATGATCAATTTTGTCAAGTTTTCTTTTGCTCTAGAAGCATTTGAGATTTGGGGTTGAGAAAAAGTTAGGAATTCCATTAAGAAGTGGATCTTTTTTTGTTTGTGTGTTGCTCTGCTTTTATTGTATGCTTAATCTAAAGTTTTTTGAGTTCCTTATGTCCTACAAAATTGTTTCTTATTGCTTTCTTTGAGTAGTCCCTGTGATTTGTTCTATGTTCTTTCCTTGTAAAATTCCTATTACATGAATATTGGAACTCCTAAATCTGCTATCATGTTGATATATATGCTTTCCATCTCTGTCTTTTTGGACTGTTTTCCAAAAGAGTTCCTGAACTCAGTCTTCCTTAATTTATTCTGCACTGGTGCTCATTCTGCTATTTGACCTGGCTGTTGAATTTTTCATGTAACAATCCAACTTTGTAATTTCGAGGATATCTTAACTGATTATTTTTTCATGGGTATAATGTCCACTTAAATCCTTCAGAGAATATACATTGTATATATCTAAAAGCCAGAAGTTGATTTTTCTCTTTCTCTATCCCTCTGTATATAAGGTCTTACATTTGTTGAACATGTTGAGTCTCTTTCTTGGAGTTAGCTTCTTTCGATGTTTGATGATTCTGAAAGCCCTTTTATTTTTGACATTCTTTACTAATCTGATCAGGAATATTCTTTTACTGGCACCTGTTGGTAGGGGAGTGATGGGGTGTGCTACTTGGCCAAGTGTACCACAGACTGCTCTTTGGAAGTGAAGCTGGATCTGCAGGAGCTGCCAGGTGGGTGTGCCAGGGCCTGATATTCTGATTTTGGCGGCTCCTTGATCTTCTTGGATGTTGTCAAGACTTCTGGTCACTGCTGAGGTTCTCAGACCCAAGGGCCTCCATATCCAGTACCTGACTGAGCATTCAAGGTAGAGATGCAGATGTGGATACTGACTTATACACTTCTTACCTCAAGACCTTCTCCTGCTCCTGGTATTCATCACCTTCATGGCTTTCATTTTTTTTTTTTTTTTTTGGCACTGGGAATCGAACTCAGATCCTTGCACTTGCAGGGCAGGCGGTGGAACCACTGAGCTAAATCCCCAGACCATGGCTTTCATTTTTGAGAAACATTTTTAGGCATTGATTTTCTTCTTTTCTGTTGTCCTACCAGGGAGTCCTCAGAATCTCTAGTCTATTTCTTTTCTTGCCTGGTTCTGGATTTTTATTCAGATATTTTCATCATTTTTAAGGATCTCAGGCAGGAAAGGGAAGTTACAGTGTGTGCTTAGTGTGCCATCTTATAGTGGAAATACCAAGGAACTACTAAGGAATGTCAGAATGGAGCTTGGCACACTGCTAGGGAAATCACCACCCTTTCCCTCTTCCATTCTAACCCCTTCACACTTAGAGCTGGCTGATTGCCGTATCAGACTGGGAATGTGAAACAGCCAAGAAAACTGGTGAACAAGACTTTATGAGCTGCAAGAAAGAAGTCTGGATGGTGAAGGCAGATCCCCAATCAGTGAGCAGGGAACAGGGGGAAAGCAGTGTTGCCTACACCTATTCTCATGATGATCAGACTTGATTCATTTTCCCATTCATCTACTCATTCCTTCATGCACCTAGAAGACATTTGTTATGTACTTTCTATATCCTAAGCCAGTGGTGACAAATGTGTGGTATGTGTACCACAGCAGGTGCAAAGAGCTCTGACTGTCACCACACAAGCCAGGTTGCCCCAGCAGCTGAGCATTGGACAACAGTTGTTTTTCTAAACTAAAACCTCACTATTCAGGTTTAATTGCAGTCTTCAGACTTTGCAATAAATAAATTGGTTTTGGGTTGCAGCTTAGACAATCGGTCTTTAAAAGGTTTTCCATCACTGTCCTAGGCTCTGTGCGAAGGTGGTAAAGGCACAAAAATAAGAAATAATACTCTCTGCCCTCAAGGAGTTCACTGTTTTTATAGAGAGAAGAAAGACACAAATAGAAAATTCCAGTGTAGCATAGATGCAACAAAATGATATTTGCTTACAAGGGTACATGTAATCTCAGAAGAGGAATTGATAGACTGAAGCTGGGGCTGAGGGTGGGGATCATA